CAGAACAGTTATAAGTAGTGTGCTGGCAGGCAAAGGAGAAACATATAGACAAGGTAGCTGGCCGGCTGTGGGTTACCAATGGCTGATTCATGGCACGCTGTCCACGAGGTTATAAATAAAGCGGCCACCACCCTGGCCGGGCCTTGTGCTCGCCTTCCCAGAGCTGCACTTGCCTCCTGAGGCCAAGACACTCATTGTGACCCGGGAAGACACAATGTTTTCGGAGGAATGGGGGGGCATGGTGCCCGGCTCTCCGCTCCTGCCTGCAGCCAATGGCTTATAGCATCTCCTGCCTCTGTAACCGCCTACAGGCCGGCCCCCGCGGAGGGCCTGCGGAGAGGGTCTGGCTCTTCTTCCTCCCCCAGCATGCCTGGCGCCACGGGCATCGGGACACGCCCCACAGCCAGGAACCTGCCCCACACGGCCGTGCACCCGCTATGCCCACTGCTGCTCGGCCTGTCTGTCCACAGGGCCTCCGTGACCCTCAGGGCACGGGGGGCCCAGGGGAGCTGAAGCCAGGGGTCCCGCTCCACCTTCAGGCTACAGGTGGGCTGGACCGCGGACCCCTGTGAGCTGGCCCTGCGGGGCCCCAGCCCCCCGGGAAGAGGGAGTGGCCGGGAGCCACGCTCCCCTGGGCACGCAGGAAAGCCAGTTCTTTTCTGGGGGGCTTCCCGCCAGGCCCGTGGTCGGCAAACCGCGGCTCGAGAGCCACATGCGGCTCTCTGGCCCCTTGAGTGTGGCTCTTCCACAGAATACCACGGCCTGGGCGAGTCTATGTTGAAGAAGTGGCGCTAGAAGAAGTTCAAGTTTTAAAAAGTTGGCTCTCAAAGGAAATGTCAATCGTTGTGCTGTTGATATTTGGCTCCGTGGACTCATGAGTTTGCCGACCACGGCCCTAGGTGGTCTGAGGATGGAGGTGAGAAAGACAGCCAGGCCTGGGAGAGACAGGACAGCCAGGTGGGATTGCCATGCCAGCTCCTGTGCTGTGGCCTGGGTGACCCCCGCAGCAAGGCCAGGCAGGGGGAGCGTGCAGAGCAGAGGGGCAGGAAGTTGGTGGAGCGGGCAGGGGTGGGCACGGGGTGGGGCCGAGTGCCTGCTCTGCCTAGGAAGTGAAACTCAGATAAATGGTGAGGCCCGGGGTGGAGAGCGGTTTGAGGTTGTGAAAACTGGAAACCGAGAGCCACCTGCTGCTCCAGCGTTTCCCCGCCCCCCCACCCAGATGACTCATGAGGCCCCTGAGAAGCAAGGCCCGCCTGGGACCTGCCAGCTGGACAGACTGAACAGGGCCCAGCCCAGCCACCAGCAGGATGGCAGGGGGCAGACCAGGAGGCCAGAGCCTGGGGAGGTGGAGAGGGGAAGGGAGGACCGGCCGAGCCTGGCCCAGCCCCAACTCCCTCCCGATCCCACAGAGGAAGCACAGCCGGCAGAGCGAGGCACCAGAGTGGGTGTGCCCCGAGCCAGCTCGGGGAGAAAACACAGAATCCCAGGAAGGTCTCCCCGGATCCCCATGGCCCTCCTCCCAGCGGACACGGAATTGTAGAGACACTGTCACCACGATTTCTCAACAGGCCCTCGAGGCCTGGCCGTGTCACGATGTGTGAGCCCTCAGGTGACCTCACCTATTTCCAACCAACCAGCACACAAGCCGGCTGCCTGGTGTAGCTCAGGGGCCAGAACCACTAGGCGCCAGGTTGGCCATCCCATGAGTGTGGCCTGCCCCTGTGTCTCACCACCTCTCACCGGCCCCCTTCTGCATTAATATGGATGCGCTCAGGGACATGCATGTCCACCTCAGGGGAGCCAGGCCTCATGGTGGATTTCTCCACCAGGAACAGACCTTGGTCAAACACAGGCACACAGGACGGCCACGGCTCCATGGAGAAAAGCAGGGGACTTCCGAAGGCAGCTCAGGCCCACGGCTGTTAGTCTTCAGTCACATGGGGGGCTGGAGGGTGGGGTTAGGGGGCGCCCCTCCCCCCGGGGGCCTTTGAGTGGGACCCGCCACCATCCGTGCAGAATGACCCAACCTGACGGCCCACGAACCTACTTTCAGACACACAAGACCAACCAGACACACAAGGTCTCCAGCAAAAGAAACTGTCCTCCATCCGTCCACCCCCAGGCCCACTGACAACTCCCAGTGCCCCCTGTTGGCGGCTCTTCACGCTCACCCAAGCCCCCTTGTCCCAAGAGAGCCAGTGTCCCCCACGAGGCCAGTGGACAGACGCCCGCCTCCCTCCCCTACAACAGACGCGTATGCAGAGCCGGTTCCGGTGAGAAGACCCAGCCCCTTCTCAGACCGTCTCCCTGCGAGATGCAACAGTCTCGACTCCCCCGACAAGCCTTCCTTCCCAGGCGGTGAAGGCCCCACCCGTTCCGGAGCCAGAAAGCGGCAGCAGGAAGAAGACTCCCTTTCCCTCTCATCAAAGACTCCCTTTGCCATGGTCATGGAGAGCAACAACACGGCCAGGGTATGGAGCAGGCACGACACGGCCTGACGAAACCACGTGGCCTGTCCAACATCACACCACCGGGAGTGGCAGGGCTGGGGCTCACACTTCAGCCTGCGGCTTTCAAACAACCCTCCGCGCCCACGGGAGGGGGGAAGCCTACCTCCCCCACCCCTGGGCCCACCAGGCCTGACAGAGGACACGCCCAGCCCGTCCTCGTTTCATAATGACTCCACATGCAGGCAGGCAGACGGAGGGACGGATGCATGAGGGATGCTGCTCATAACCAGCACCCCCCCCCTCCCAGGTGCACAGGAAGTGGCCACCCCACCAGCGGAGGTGAACAAGGCCTTCCCAGTTGCCGCCGGCTCTGTACTGCCATCAACCAACCAGGGGGTCCCCGTCTTTGAAAGGAGACAGCCCGGCCCCTTGGGCTCCGTCACCCCAGAGCCTGCTGTCCCTGGCGCTGGGAAGCCCCTCTCCAGGAACACTCGGCAGGCATGGCACCTGCTCCCAGCCCTTGAGGGAGAGCCACCCCTCTCCCCCATTGCATCAAAAAGCAAATATGCACCCACAGATCCCTCCGGGAGCTGTCACTAGGAAGAGCTGGCCCTGGGGGTCAATGAAGAGGAGCTGCTGTCTTCCCCACACCCCCAGCTTTTGGGGTTCCGGGCCCCAGGGGGTGACTGGAGAGAGCCAGGGCTGTGCTGGTGAGCCTGCAGGGAGGTTGGGGGGGGGGTGTGTGCAGCCCCCTCCCCCTGCCACCCAGAAGGGAAGGCGGCGAGCAGAAGGACCTGCAGACTCCGAGCCTCATTACCGGGAATGACTAAGTGACTGCGATTCCGGGGGAAACCCCGCTCGCTTCTGCGCGCTGAGGGCTCCAAACCCTCCAGCGTGCGGATAGATGGAGGCAGCTTCCAGGAGCTGCTCCGCGGGAGCCCCTGCGAGCGAGCGGCCAGGTTCCCGGGGAGCCCTCCACCTGGGCGTCTCAGCCCTGGCTCTGCCCCAGCCTTTCCAGCACGGCCAGGCGGCCGGCCCCTAGCGGGCTCCAGGCTGGGAATGGGGAAATCCGATCAGCACCTCCCAGGTTTTAGCGGCTGGATTTCAGCGAGGAATGTGACAGTCTCGCAGCAGCTGTGCCCCGCCTGAAACAAGCTCTATTTGAAACCTCCAACAGCTGAGCCCCTCCCAGCTCCAGGCAGCCTGCCCAGCCACCCCCTGCCCAAAATGACAAAGTGAGAAATGTGGCAACCGGGAGGCGCATGCACACACACGCACACACACACACACACACGCACACCAACAAACTGGGGGTGAGGGATGCATGGGAAAAACCCACTTGCCTCGCCACTCCCCAGGTCTCCAAGCCTCTGAGCCCCCAGCAGGCAGAGCACACACAAACCCACCTTCCTCCACGCCACCGCCTCCGAGGCCGCGGTTTCCAATCCCTCCCGCCCGCCCGGGGAGGGAACCCCATCCTCCATCTCTAGCGGATGAGGCTGGAGCAGCGGGGGCCAGCTCCCCCACTCCAGTGGGCGCTGCCGGCTCCATCCGCAGGCGCTCACACACACTCACCCTCATTTACCAAGAGGAGCCGGGGCGGGCGGGGGGGCGGGCTGGGGCTGCGCGGGGAGCAGAGCGGGCTCGGAGATGCCCGGGAAGCCTTGTCATCCCGGCGGAAAGAGGCGCTACCCCTCCGTTCCTCCCCCCACCAGCCTGGTGCCAAGGCGGTGCCCATCTGCTCTGCCCGGGGAACACCTGTAGCCATTTTACCAGGGGCTGTTCATAAGCAGCAGCAGGTTTATTCTGAGTCCTCTCTCCTGAGGGAAGAGCCGCTTGTTCCCTCCACCTGTATTTTTATCCCAGGCCCCCCGGGGGGGGGGGGGGGAGAGGAGGCGAGACCCGGCCACCGTGCCTTTGGGTTTGGCCCTGAGTCTCTCAGGGATGGGGAGGGAGACAGAAACTTGGGGGGGGGGGGGGAGAGAGAGAGAGAGAGAGAGAGAGAGAGAGAGAGAGAGAGAGCAGACACACACAGAGAGAAGGACGGGCAGGGCATCCCTACCCCCCACCCAGACATTTATTTCTCTTTTATCCTCGGGAAAATGGAGCGGAGCGGGGAGTGGAGGAGAGGAGGGAAGTCGCAGGAACGAAGGCGGAGAGTAATTAATCGGTGCGTTAAGCTGCCGGGATATGCGTTAGAGCCCATGAGCCGGGCGGGGCGGTGGGAGGTGGGGGGGGGAGGGGCACGGGGCAGGGAACAGGGGGGGTGATTTCTCAGAAGGGTTTCTTTAATCCTCCCCAACACCGAGTCTGCAAATGAGAACACTAGCATGGGGGTGTCCTCCCACCGAGAAAACCGGCGACGAATTCTCCCAGGATTAAGCAGCAGCAAAACCACGGGAAGTTAGTGTTCCACCGAATGGAGCTACCCGCCTCTCCCCACCACCACCACCACCACCTCTCCCCCCAGCCAACCTCTCCATCACTCTCTCCATGTAGACCTATAGGTTTCCTTTTGTGCAAGGTATAAAGAGAAGCCGCAGCCCCTACCTTTGAGTACAAACCCCAAGACAGCTCGGTCTCTATCACCATAACAACAATTCCAAACATCCCAAAAATCAGAGCATAGTCACTCAGCCGCTTTCTCTTTTCGAACAGGGCCCTCCTGTGTCCCAGCTTATAGCCAATGTTTTGGTTTTTCCGCTTGTTGGCTTTGGGGAAGGTGGTGCCGCTGGGGGCGGTGCCGGCGTGCTGGTGGTTCTGGGTGGCATTGGGGTGGTGGAGCAGGGTCTGGTGGGCATGGTTGTCCTCCCGGGAGGAGATGACGATCTCCGGGGGGTTGCCAGGGCCGAAGAGCTGGAGGGGCTGGCCCTCGGGCTCGGCCTCGATGAGGTTCCTCCGGGAGGCGCTGAGGCGGCTGAGGGGCTTCATGACCCCGCCACTGTACTTGCAGGAGCTCATGGCGATCTCGGTGAAGGGGTTGCTGTCCCGCCGGTGCACCAGGGGGCTGGCCTGCCGGTGCCGGCCGCCTCCGCCGGGCCCACTTGTGGCTGTGGAACTTGGAGAGTGGCCAAGCAAATGGTCACTGAGGTTGAGCTGGCTGCCTTGCCTGGAGGAAGGGTGGAGGGTGGCGGTGGAGTTGGACAAAGGGGGGGCCCTGAGGGCGGTGGGAGAGGAGTGGAGCAGGCCGGGGTGCACGGGCTGGCTCTGGAGTTGGGCGAGCTGAGACAGGGGATGCAGTGGCTGCTGCTGCTGCTGCTGCTGCTGCTGCTGCTGCTGCTGCAGAGGCTGAGGCTGAGGCTGAGGCTGCAACAGGGGTCCCGGGGGGTGCTGGGGGGCTGCTGGTGCTGCCGGCGCTGGTGGTGGCTGCGGCGGCGGCTGCTGCTGCTGCTGCTCATCCCCGGAGGATGGACAGGGGCACTTGGGGTCTTCGTCCAAGTCCCCCACCCCCGAGTCATGGAAGTGCCCAGAAGTGTCCATCTCGGGGCCTGGCTGGATTCCCTGCAGCACCACCCCCCACCCCAAAGCCACCGTTGCTCCAGAGATGTCCTCACAGAGTGCCAGGCATCCAACACTCCCACCAGAGTGTCTTGGCTCCCGTCCTCCTCCCGGTGGTGGCTCGCTCCGGCTCTCTGGGGCTGCTAGGAGTCCAGGCGCTGCCGGTCAAGAATGCATTGTACTGGGCAGGCAGGGAGGGCAGCGGGGCGCTGGCAGAGGGCAGGCGAGGGGGAACGGACTCTGCCTCGGGAGGTGGTCCTCTGGAAGCATGCGAGGCCAGGCTCAGCTTCACTCCTCCTCGCTGGCTCAATAGCTTTGCTCTCCTCCTCCTGCCGCTGTTAAAGGGGAAGCCCCGCCCACCTATTAGCGGACGGGCTCATTGGCTCGGCTTCCCTCTCCCACCACCTCCTGGCCCCGCCCCCGCGCACGCCCCTCCCAGGGGGCGGGGCCTGCGCCCTCCGTTCTCGGCCCCGCGGCAGCGGCACCGGGCGGCTGGGAACTGTAGTCTGCGCTCCTCTCCCGCCGCCGGGTTGGGAGCCGCAGTCCCCTTTCCTCCCACAGGTAGAACCCGGGGGCCCGGGACAGTGCACGGGCAGTGGGGAGGAGGAGCAGAGAGCCTCCTACCCGGGGTGGGGGGGATGAGGGGGCCGTGCACCCCGTTTCGCGGGCAGGAAGCAGGGAAGACAGACCGTTATCAGCGGCCAGGATGCACGAAAGGTTGTCTCACACATGCAGTCCGTTAACACCCTCCCAACACCCTCGGAGGTGAGCATTGTGCTCCTACTCGACACACCGGATGCTCAGAGACGTCGAGTGACAGCTACGAGGTCAGAGGAGCAGAGGGGCCCTAGCCGGTGTGGCTCAGTGGGTAGAGCGTCAGCCTAAGACTCGAGGGTCCCAGGTTCGATTCCGGTCAGGGGCACGTACCTTGGTTGCGGGCACATCCCCAGTAGGGGGTGTGCAGGAGGCAGTGATTGATGTTTCTAACTCTTTATTTCTCTCCTTTCCTCTCTGTAAAAAAATCAATAATAAAAAATATATATTTATAAAAGAAAAAGAAGCAGAAGGGCCCGGACTGGTGTGGCTCAGTGGATAGAGTGTCAGCCTAAGACTCTGGTGTCCCAGGTCCAATTCAGGTCAGGGGCACGTACCTTGGTTGCTGCCACATCCCCGCAACCAAGGTACAGCTGCTGGAGACAGCTGCTGGGTGTTTCTCTCTCATGGTGGATATTTCTGACTCTATCCCTCTCCCTTCCTCTCTGTATAAAAAAAAACCAATAAAATATATTTTAGCAAAAGAAAGAAAAGCAGAGGGACCCAGGTCCTCCTGACTCCAGGTGGATAAGCTCACCTGCGGAACCCCTGCAGGAGGTGTGCGCGCACCCCTGCTATTTCTAACCCTCACATCAACGCTAGGAAACTATCGTTCTCTTTTTGCAGACAAAAGCTGTGGAAAACAACACAGAAAATCACTCAGATGTCACCAGCTTGTAATTAAGGGTGCTATGCCTTGAACCCTGGTCAGTCTGCCCCCGCACCTCCTACACCATCTCCCAGGCTGCCTTCCTGCCATGGTGCTCAGCACAGGGCTGCTCCGTGAATGTTGTCCAGATGATGGGTGGACAGGAGCCGAGGAGAGCGGTGCAGGAGGAGCCGGACGCCCTGAGGCAGGACGTGTGAAGCGGACCCCTGCTCCAGCAGGGCGTGGAGTCACCGGAGGGCTTGGCAGGAAGACTGAAGACCCCCACGGTCACGCCCCCGCGGATCTGCCCCATGGGGCTCTGAGTCAGAGTCCGGAACAGCTGCTGGCTTCCCAGGTGCAGAGCCATCATCAAGTATTTATTAAGCTCCCACTGTGTGCAAGGGAGCTTGAAAGAGCTGGAAATTCGTTTTCATTTCTATCTGCAGCTTCTCCATCTCCCCCAATCCTCTGGCCAGCTGCTCCCTGGGTAGGAAAGGGGAAGAGTGAGAGCCATGCACACACACATGCGTGTACACACACAGAGATACATGCACGCGGGAACATGCATGCACATAGGTGTGCATACACTGGCCCTCATATATGCATTGGCCCACATACATGGACATGCAGACACTCGGCGAGCTTCTAAAACAGCTCCCCTGAGTGGTGAGCAGCAAATGGCCAGATCAGGAAGGGGTAGAGATCCCCTCAAACCAGCCCGTAGTATCCTCGGCATACCAGTCCTCACCCCCTCAACCCCCTATCCGCCCTGATGACGGAGGGGTGAATATTACAGACGCACAACCCCAGAAACCTGGATGATTGCAATAACTCACACATAATAATCTTGGTTGCTGATATTATTGTAAATGACATCATTCCTTCTCTCACGACAAGTCACAGCCCTGGGACTTAAACACAAGCCTGGGGTCCTACATATTTTCCAATGACTGTATTACACTCCCCCGCCCCATCACACACACACACACACACACACACACACACACACACACCCTTTAGCATGCCCTGCCTTTCCTCCCCTTCCACCTTCTTGGTTTCCCTCCCTCTGTTCCCGAACAGAGTCAACTATTTGGTTTCACTGCTTCTGATCACCAGTAGGCCTCATGATTTCTTAATACATTCTCTGTTGTGAAGAGCAGGCACGGGCTGTCAGTGTTGGTTCTCAGTGCCAGGGCAGCATCTGGGCTGGGACAGACTGTGCCCACTCCACCGCCATAACCTGCCTCAGCCTCCACTGGCCTTGCCCGGCCAGACTCTGCCTCCAGGTTTCCTGGCTGTGCCAGCTGATCCCAGCGGGAATGTTAGAGCAAGTTCCATGATTGGGGATGAGAAAGAGCTGGGGGTGGAGGGAGCGGGGAGCAAACCACGCCTGAGCCAGAGATCAACCGGAGACTCACCTGGAAACGGGCGGGAGCTGGGCCCCTGGTCACAGCCGCCCGTGGGAGTGGGGAGAGAACAACGCCACGGTCAGCACGTGGGCTGAAGAGTCAGACTGCCCACGCGGGAGCTCTCGGCTACGCAATAGCGGTGTGGCTACAGGCAGGATCCTCAGCTTCCCACTCTGACATGGGAGCATGAGGGTCCCTACCTCAAGGGGTCCGGCAGGATTTTAGAAGCATGCCAGGGTGCGTGGACATCAAGGTACATGATGACCTTGAAGCCCTCAATGGTGTGCTGGAGCTGGCTGGTACTGGCTCAAAAAGGCAACTGCACACATCTCTTCCAAGTCCCAGATCCATTGCTGTTACTACGACAGCTCGGAATCAGTGACGGTGGGAGTGTTTACACCACAGGCACTGGCAAACACTTCACAGCGGGGTTGGCCTTTCCTGGCGAGCCCGTGGTTAAACACTCAGTGGCTGTTAAACATTTACCACACACTGCTGCCTCTTATCCGATATCATCAGCCACGAAACGTGCGCTCCGTCCTCCTCTGACCACCGGCACAGCACTTCCTCTCCTCCCTCCCTCCCTCTCATGAGCACAACAAGCTTTGCCATGTGTTTGCCTTGTGAGCTTGGGCCAATTGCTTAATCTCTCAGGATTTTAACTTCCTCAGCTCCTATGAATTAGCACAAACCAAGTACTTGGTCGCTGTGAAGTGCTTAATGGGTTAGTACAGTGGTCGGCAAACTGCAGTTCTCGAGCCACCTGCGGCTCTTTAGCCCCTTGAGTGTTTAGCAAAGGCCAGCTGAGGAGTACCCTAATTAGTTCATAGCAATGTACCTACCTATATAGTTTAAGTTTAAAAAATGCAGCTCTCAAAAGAAATGTCAGTCGTTGTCCTGTTGATATTTGGCTCAGCTGACTAATGAGTTTGCCGACCACTGGGTTAGTAAATCAACTGGAGCCACTCAGCCGCAGGGCCCGATCATGTCAGCTTTTCCATCCCCCCACTCCTCCGCTCTCACGTCTCCGCCCACTTTGGCTGTAGGTCCAGTCCTCGCTGTGGGGAAGCCCCCAAGGTTCTCACTAGCTCCTAGCTAAAACCATGGCTTCAAAACACCAATGAGCTGAAACCGGTTTGGCTCATGGATAGAGCATTGGCCTGCAGACTGAAAGGTCCCAGGTTCGATTCTAGTCAAGGGCATATATGTTGGTTGCGGGCACATTTCCAGTGGGGAGTGTTCAGGAGGCAGCTGATCAATATTTCTCATCAATGTTTCTGACTTTCTATCCCTCTTCCTTCCTCTCTATAAAAAAAATCAATTAAAAAAATATATATATATCTCGGATTGCCCAATTAAAAAAAAAACTAACGAATTGGAGTTATCACCCATTTTGTAGATGAGAAAACTGAGAAATTAGATTAAAAACTTCCCCACAGGTACTAACTAGTAACTAGTGGCATAGAAAGACTCAAACCCAGATCTGTCTGACCCCCCGGCCCAAGCACTTTTCTGAAATACAGATCAATAGGATTCAGACTTAGTAACATGGGACTCACACAGCCAGCCCTCCTGGATGATAAAGAAGCACAGCAGAGAGTCCTGAAGTGCGGTGTAGACAATCGAGGTCATCGAATGCAGAGGGGAGGTCATCGAATGCAGAGGGGAGGTCATCGAATGCAGAGGGGAGGTGATGACGGCTTGTGGAGGCGGTGGGATTGGAGCCACACCTTGAAGGATGGGCTCCTGCTTCCCAGGAATCAGGCCTCTTCCCTCTGTAAAGGTGAAGGTTTAGGGGGTGTGGTGGGGTTTCTCAGCTCGGGGAGTACAGGGAAGGTGAATGAGGGCACTCACCAAACCCAGGAAAGCGGAGGCAGCCTTCGGCCATCCCAGCTCCATCTCAGCCCATGTGGCCCTGCCCTCCTTTCCACACTCACCCCTCACCACGTCCTTCTTGAAGCTCCAAAAACACCAGCTTCTTATGGTTCCTCCGATAAACCATGCTACCTCAGACCTCCATGCTTTTGCTCATGCTGTTCCTCTGCCTGGCATGCCCTTCCCCTACATCTTCACCGACACATTTCTTTTCTGCCTTCAAGATATATGTTGTGGGCTGAAACCGGTTTGGCTCAGTGGATGGAGCATCGGCCTGCGGACTGAAGGGTCCCAAGTTCAATTCCAGTCAAGGGCATGCACCTTGGTTGTGGGCACATCCCCAGTGTGGGATGTGCAGGAGGCAGCTGATCTATGTTTCTCTCTCATCGATGTTTCTAACTCTCTATCCCTCTCCCTTCCTCTCTGTAAAAAAATCAATAAAATATATTTTTTAAAAATTAAAGAAAATATATATCTCGAGGGTTTTCTTTCCGGGAAGCCTCACTCAAGTTTCTCAAGTCCCGATTAGGGGTGCTTCTTCCATGGTTTCAGTACTTGATGCTCACCTCTCTCCCTATCTGT